AAAAATTTTTTGCTGAAGCATTTACAAATGTAATTTTAAATTTACACATAATTATTTAAACACTAAAGATCCAGCTGGGCCGTTTAAAGCCTTCATTTCCTATTTGTTGTATTAAAAAATTTTTAGCCAGATATATAATTTTGTTGAACCGTCAAAATAATTACACAGGAAATTCAAGCGTAATGAGCAATGCTGCAAAAAATGTTAACATTTTACCAAGTTTGTGTGCCCTACATAATTATCTTAATGGTTCAACAATTATTTTTTCATATCTGTCTCTATAACTAAAGTTTGCTTCCGCAAAACCATCGTTTCCGTGTATTTATTCCATCGGGAATTAGTGTAAGTAATTTGCTGTCTATTCAAGAATCTTATTTACGAGAACCATTTTTAGAGAGCAAACATTGGAGACCTGATCCTGGCAGAGAACGTGAAATACTTTTAACCAACTGAAAATATGTTTATAAAGACCCCGCATCTCCGGAATGCACACTCGTCGATCGAAAGGCCAACGTCGTAGTTCTACGCTTATTTGAGAATTTTGTTTTCGAAAGTCACTCTTTCTCTCGGAGAGCAAACACCAGGCTAGATCCTGCGGCGGAGGATCTCAGAATGCTTTCCCCGCTACAAAAGCAAAACAGAAAGCGCGCGAGTGCGGCTGGTGAACACTGAACACGCGTGACAGGCAGGAAATCATGGCACGCGTGAAAACGTTGCCCCGAGTGCAACAATAGGGTCCCTGGGCAAACAAGCAGAATTCGATGCATCGTGGCGGCGACAACACGACGCGACGCTTCGAAATATGCTCAGTTGTTCTTTCAGAGCACATTCCTGACCCTCGTTTACTCCGAAACTCAATGGTCTCTGCTCCACCCTCTGGACTAGCTCGAGATTGCTGTAGCTGCGTTTCCAACCCCTCCGGCCGGTCCGGCTCGGCCAGCATCGCGTAATCGTCCGTACGATGACACGCCAGAAACCCACCCCTGTACATTTATTCCAGCGCACCAAACTCGGCACTCGGGGTTGCCTTTTCCGTGGCGGAAGGATCGGGAAGGAGACGCGCGGCGAAGCGGAACGCGCGCGTGTGCGTGTGCGTGTACGCGCGCTCGCACGCGCGAACGCACACGAGGTATTCGGTATAGCGTACTTTCGCAACGGGGGATTGTAACCGGCAGAATTTCGGCGTGATTCAATTCACGATACTGTGGATATATATGGCCTACGGAGACAGTAAACATAATGTTTCGCACTGACTGTCTACCGCTGTCGTTGAAAATGACCAAACACGTAGACCGTTTTCAATTGTCTAAAGCAATGAAATTCGAATCCGGCGGAATTACGCAGAATTCACTAATTAATCGAATCATGAATTGAGAGTAACTCGATGGAATTCGATATATCTAGCTCCAGGCAAAATCTGTATTATGTACCGTCCATTTGCCTGGAAAGCCTGGAAAATGGACATCCCAAATAAAGTTGTTATTCCTAGTTCTCTATTATAGATTGTAATCGATTAAAATAAAATTATCAAAAAACCATAAATGCTACAGATAAAATCATTATGCACCGTTATTCACCCGGAAAATGGACGTTTAAAGTAAAGTTGTTAATTCTCAATTACACATTGTAATTAATACGAACAAAATTATCAAAAATCATAAACGCTACAGAGAAAATCTATATTATGCACTGTCATTTTCTTGGACATTTATAATGGACATTTGAAATAAAATTGTTATTCTTATAGTTCTCTGTTATACATTGTAACCAATTTAGATAAAATTATGAAAAAATCATAAATGCAACAGGTAAAGTTATTATATACCGTCATTTATCTAGAAAATGGACACGTTAAGTAAAGTTGTTAATTTCCTATTATACGTTTTTATTAAAACAAATAAAATTATTAAAAGATTATAAATGCTACAGATAAAATCTATATTCTCTATTATCATTCACCTGGAAAATGGATATCTCAAATAAAGTTTTTACTCTTAGTTCGTTCTCTATTATACGTTATAATATGAACAAAATTATTAAAAGAATAAAATTATTAAAAGAATTATTATAAATGCTACGGATAAAATCTATATTCTGTACTGCCATTCACCTGGAAAATGATATCTCAAGTAAAGTTGCTCCCATTATACGATATAACACGAACAAAGTTATCAAAAGATTATAAATGCTACGGATATATAAAATCTATATTCTGTACTCTCATTCACCTGAAAAATGGATATTTCAAATAAATTTGTTATTCTTAGTTTGTTATTATTCAACTTAGTTGTTATTCTTAGTTTTCTATTACACGTTATAATTAATAAGAACAAGATTATCAAAAAATCATAAATACCAGGATTAAATTAATGCTGCGAGGGTTGTGGCTTTATCCTAAAATTTGTTTTCTCCATTATTCGGGCTAAATACCTTATAACTATTTTTAGAGAAGAAATCTCTCTCAGAGGTAAATGTAAAATTTCTTTAACTCTTTAAGACTCGGTTGCACCAAACATTATTTTGATTTTAAGCGAAACTTAAAACTGTTTCTATCTCGTTTTAAAACCGAAAAGAGACAGGAACAAACAGAGTTTAAACTTCGCTTAAAATTAAAGTAACGTTGGTGCAACCGAGCCTAAGTATTCTTTTTTTAATTCTCGGTTTTAATTTCAATAAACATTATTAAAATACGCCTACATTGCGCGTAAAACAGAAATAGTTTGTAACAGCAAATTTCTGGAATTCGCTTTAAACGATCTATAACTTGCGACTGAAGAAAATGGAATTCTGTTTCTAATTTTATCTGCGATGTGTAACACAGAAAATATTCGAAAAATTGAAAACATTAAAAAAATACGACACGTAAATTATAAATTTTGCTATAGGTTTCATTGCGAATTATAAATAGACCACGATAAAGAATTAAAGAGTAAAGCTAATTAAACGTTCAGTACAAAAACCAACAAAATTTACTGTCTTCGTGTAACAAGCGGAGCAAGCGCTACGTTTTACATCCTTGTATTACTCAGTGCGGCATTTGCATGCGTTACTTAGACTCTTATTTAGCATTACTCCCACGTCCACGCAAATGCACCTATGCACCTATGCACCGGATCCGGCGTGTGTGAGGGCGCAATTCACTCGTATGTGCCTCGCAACCGCGTGCTCGGGGCCGAAGGCGCGCGTGTGCGGGTCTACGCGTGTAGGTGCGTGCCCGCGTTTCAGACGTGCGTGGAGAGTGGAGTATTAGTGCGTGTGCCGCGCGCGAGAAGGGCGAGGGTGTCTCGGGTAGGGGAAACTAAACGCGTGTCTTCGGTTTTGGTTTTAGTTTCGTGGCAGTCGTTGCCGACGACGACGCCGACGACGACGATAGCACGATCATAACGACGACGACGACGACGACGACGACGTCGATCCCGCCGAGCGGCACCGATCTCACCGACGCGAAAACACGACGCGTCTTTTATCACGCCGGTATTATTTCTCCGATTTAATCGACGTCGCGCGCGCGCGCGCGCGCCTAAGTGATCAAGTAACACCCTTCGCATCTTCACGGGTACCAGCTGCAAGTGCGGATGAAACTAAATCCGAAAGTACGTATCTTCAGTATCGCCGATTACATCTCTGTGTATTATCCCCCGAGAGATAAAGATTTATTCGAGTCGGAGTACCACACATGCTCCGTTTTCCCCCATCTGAAGAACTCGAATAGAATTTACGCGGTTCTATGTGACGCGGAATTTAAATCTCCTTCAATCTATCACGAGTGGTACCGATAAACTGTACGTATCTTTTCTCTCCTCAAGCTGTTTTATAAGTATCCAGTTCTTCGCAAGTGCTATTGTAAAGCTTCAGCTGATAAAATAAATGGTCTCTTTGAAAGACTGAAGTGTTAATTATTGGCCAATCCTTTCTTTGGAGAACCTGAAGAAATACTGGCTTTATTAGCCAATCTTTCCTTTGAAGAACCTGGAGAATTTCTCTTTTAATCTAAATCTCATTCTCAATTTCTTCAGTTTAAAAGACTCCATTGAGAATCACTATCGATATACCTATATAAGGGTGTTCGATTTCAAGTAATTTCACATTAAATTCAAGACATCGACAGTGAAACGGGATACAGACGATAATAACTGACGTTGCTATTATAAATATAAATAGAGAGAGAGATAAATAATAAAGAAGCGTGAAAGTGACGTGCGATAGTGCCACCTGACCGCGTATCTAAATTAAACCGCGCGGCGTGCAAAAGGAGGACCACCTACCAAGAATAACATCAGGAGAGAAGTGTGGGGGACCAGTGGTAAAAAAGGGCACACGAAAGGCACGCGCCCGAGACACAGGATCAAAGTTGAAATTCTTCGAGAGGGTGGCGAAGGAGGAGAAGGAGGAAGACCGTATGGTCGGAGGAAGTCAAAGCGGACGAAGAGGACGACGACCAGGTCGAATGCCGTGAGGCGAGAGTTTCGACGGGAAGAAACGAGCGTGCGGAAAGAAGGGGACACAAAGGAAACGAGAAAAACGTCGACTGGTTTTGTTAATCAAAAGATTTTGAGACACGCGTTCAGCCTAATAACGAGCGAGGGGAGGAGAAAAGGCGGGCGTGAAAGGACTCGTCGGAGGATCTCCGGTTCTGAATTGTGTCGCTGGCGCCTGTGCTTTTTGTACTCCCGATTGAATAGGACTGACAAAGAATAAGGGTCCACCCTTGAATAAATGAATGAGTATTATTGAACTACCGTTGAATGCAAATATGTTTGCGGGATATTGGAAGCTTTAAGAAGAGAAACTTAAAAAAGTTTTTCGCGTGAAAATTAAACGTTTGCAGCTTTGAAAGGATACAGAGAAAGTACAGGGACTTTTTATAATTCCAATTATTATTTTGAAGTGGGTCATTTCAGATCGTAGATCGTGTGGTGACTATAAATAACAAAAAATAATTATTATTTATTATATTTAAATATATAAATACACCAGTTATATATATATTAATATAAGACTACTTAAGTGCAACGTTAAATTAGTGTTAAAAACAATCAAAACGCGAGGACATCGAGAATGCCTGGATTTTCCGAGTCCTTCGAGTGGTCGCGATCGATCGAGGAAGCGGCGCGATCGAAATTTTTCTCGGATCCGCGACTATCACGCGAGAAAGACTGTCGCTGAATCAACCGTGCCCTTATTTGAAAAATAAATTCGATCAATCAGGATCGAATGCAGTTCTTCGTGACGGAAGAGCGGATTCGACGTGTTGAGTGCAGTCATCGTGACATCTGAGCCTCGATACAAGACTATATCGAAATGCGCTGTGCGTCAGGATACGTATTTCTGACGAGTTTGTTGATGGTGCTAAGGATTCGCCGAATGGGCGCGGCTGCGGAGGAGTTGGAGTTTCAGGACAAAGGTACGTGCCAAGGATCGAGTTTCCTTATCTCAAAACGTTATCTGTAAAGTTTTCTCTAACACGCCGCATTAAACATCTTTTTAACGATAAATTTGTTCCTGGATTGCGCTAAAAATCGGTACTTGAAATACCCCACAAAAAATTGTGTCTATTTTTAACCGTCAACCTCCATCTTCGGTACACGACGAAGGTATGCAAGCGCCTTAGCTCTCCTCGTTGCTCGAAACTGTCAGAAGATTGACATCTAATTAACAGGTCAGATCCGTCAGCGAGGCTATTAACGTGGTATTCGCTTGAAGTTCTACCCGCCCTCCAAGTACATTTAACTATATTTACACGCTTACTAATTAACTTTGCATTGACATTATGCGGGGGTGAAATGTGATTTTCGGTAAATTCCTTTAAATACTAAAATTTCCGACTACGCCGTTTTGATATCCTTACATTTTATATGAGAGAGAGAGAGAGAGAGAAGAAAAGTAAATAAATCAACATTAAAATTTTGTATATTTTAATAATATAATTCTATTAACTATAACGATTAGTTTGTTATAGTAATTAATAATTTGTACTTAAAAAATAAAAAAGAGAGAAAAATAACTATTTATATAATACAAAATAAATAATAGCTGTTATTATTTAAAAAATATGATAAAGAAAGTATCGAGTAAGAACCGATGATTCTGGGTCATTTTGACGAAACTTGTGAGGTGTCTTAGCACTTTTCCACCATCGAATTCAACCGGAAGGATTTAAATAAACCCGCAGGCCCGCATGCGACCTAGTGACATTTTAGCGTTCGTAAAATTCAATCAAGGCTCAATTTATTATTAAGTTCAATCACTAGCACATTACAAACAATCCTACACGATGCGTTGTTTTCTGTTTATATCATTGCGATACAATATCTCAATTTGCACTGGAAAGGAAGCAGATAAAACATTGCATTCGCTATCGCGCAAAAAATATCATATATGAATAATTTAATTAATCATGTCGCGAGGAAGAATCTGGCGAGTGCGGTAATAGCTATGACACGACGGACAAGTAGACAAAAATTGGAACTGCTGTCTGAAATAGACGTCGCCAGTTTAATTTGGCGAGACTGTCGACGTTCGCTAGTATGCCAGAATAATTACGTTATTAGTCTCCGAGTCACATACACTCTCGGAAAATCGCGACATAAAAAAAACATTATGCAGAATCCGGAAGAGTCCATCTCGGTAAAATGTATTGTAAGTGAGATTAAATTTGTGGATTTTGTGATTACGACGTAGTCAATAACATTCGTCGGTCTAAGTAATTCTTGTAGTTGTTTAATAATTATATAATATATTTTTTTCTCAGGTTTGATACACGTATTCGAGAATAATCTAATTATAAATTAGAGAACCTACTTTACAAGTTCAGGGAAAAAATTTAAACATTAAATTATTTACAAATGTTATAAAATAATCAAGGACTCTTACAAATTTAATAACAGTATAAAGATAAACGGGCAAATAAGAGTCGAATTTTTAAAAATGAGAACGTATAAACATTATTAATAATAGTTGAAATACATACATAATGGAATCTAGGAATATGATATTTCTAGATTCCATTATGTATGTATTTCAACTATTATTAATAATGTTTATAAGTTCATATTTTTTAAAATTCGACTCTTATTTGCCCGTTTATCTTTATACTGTTATTAAATTATTTAATTTAACAGACTATAATTGATCGTCTACGTAAGAAACTATTATATTTATCCTACGAGTTTTTTACTTTTATCCTTTTGTTTTATCTATAAATAGTAAAAATTGATAAATTTTAATGGTAAAAGAATAAAAAATATACTTTCATATTTTACCGTCTCTGACTATCATAGAGAGTTAAAGAATTATAATCTTGAAGTTTTTAAGACATAAAAATGAATAAAAAACCTAAAAAATTTTTTAAAATCCTTTATATCTTTCAATCTCTATAAAGATGGCGATACAAATTTTAGAAACAAAAATTTTTGTAACAATAAATCTTTATAAAACACATAAAGAAATGAAAGAAAACTTTTGGTAATTTTGTCTTTCACTTCCTTTCATTCTTTTATCCTCGAATTCACAATTTATTTTAATATAGATTACTTAAATAATAATTTATCGATTTATTTCATTTAAAAGATAAACAAAATCATTTATTAATTGAATATTATTTGTAAGAAAAAGACAGGAATGATTTACAATTTACCATCAATTTAAATCTTCGTATCTTTTTTCTTAAATATTCCATCGACTAGATTTTCGGAAATAACAATTTTCTTATCCTTAAAACAAATTGCGGTTTAAAAATTTTAATTAGGAGTTTAAAAAATTTAAAATAGAAAAACGTATAAGACTCTTCTGGGACTAATGAATTAGATATATAAGTTCAAGGTATTACAAACAAGGTATAACATTAGAAAATTTAGATATTTTAACCCTCGACTACAGATGTGGATTTTTTAACTAAACGCGCGAAAAGAATATCAAGGAAAATTTCAGATGATAAAGAATAATAACAACTGACGCTAATGATCTCCTAATTGCATGAAGATATAATGCAAGGGGAAAAATATCAAACCGCAGCGTGTTAAAATAAATGAGCGGAACATTGCTAGAGCAACCGCATTGCGACCGTTAAGATAAAATAACCGCGATTTATCTACCCGCGAATTATATCCGCGAATCGATAACGCGTATGACAGGATCCTGCCACGTGAAAAACAGTTGATCGAAAGGAAATGCCAAAGGAAGCGCGAATTGGCGAATGGATTTTTTCGTTGATTCTTTTCATTGGTGATCTCTAACTAATGGACATTAAGTGCTGTTACTTAGAGACAATAAGAAGAAGAAGACAACGATCCTTCTCGAATCTCACGGAAGAATGCGAGAACTTGGATCATTTCGATTTTGCGTCGAAAGAATTGGCGCGATTTATTTTCAGCACGTGGAAAGAAACCTTTGGCTCTATCACTGAAGTGTGATCATTTATATACAATATACAACTGAAGGAATCATTGTAAATCGTGAATTAACGTTGCCAACAAACATGACGTATTCATAAATTTTGAAATGTAGTAGCAACAGCGAGAGACATGAAAATGTATCATTCCACCAAATATATTATTGAGAACGTAGCTAAATATATAATAGAAATACATGTAAATACCTAAACTCGATGATGAAGCTTGATAGTTTTATAATATCGATCGTTTGATCGTTTAGTCATTTACTTACATGAAAGATAATGAAATCTCACTATTTATCATCATTCTCATGTAGGTATCGCAAGAAGCTTTACATGTTTGTCTAACAGTAAAAATCATGCGGAACGGCCCGTTGCGAAAGCAACACTTTCGGCAAAATGAAAACACATAAACCACTGCAATGTGCTTTTCATGCTCAGATCACCCATGCATCGTCACATCTCAACAACTTTCTCGATGTAATGCATGCTAATCTCCTGATACAAATCCAATTTACATCTTATCTATAAGATATACATGAAAGATTAACGAGCAGTTTTTACATGAAAGAAAGATCAGGTTGTAAAATGATATTAAAATTTGCTCCAAAGAAAAAATATTCTAAAAAACACAAGAATAAAAAATATAACATTTCTATCTCCCTTCCTCTCTAAAACTTTTAAACCTCACTCTTAAGATTGAAAATGAACTCTTTTTCAAGACTGGCTCAATTTTCACTGTTTAGAATCAGAGTCCACTTCAAAGAAATTAGAAAGTATATTTCTTCTTGTTATTTAACTTTGTAACTTTGTTATGTTGTGCATTGTAATAAAGCTTAAAGATTTATCTTGTATTGTTTTACAATTAATTAATAATTAAAATATCAAAATTAATAACTAATTATTATAAAAAGACGAATGAGTTTAATTTCACGAAATTTTAAATATGAATTGCACCTTCAACGTGCTAGTAAATGCATTTAATTAGTGCGCATTACTAACTTGTTGCGAACATCAGAAATGATAAAGTAGAACAAAATAATTCCTCATTAAATGGAAACGGACCTTCGCACATATTCCACCAGCGATATTCGCGATAATTATACGTTATTTTCTAATTGAAAGAGTAATTAGCGTAGTCAGCGTAAATTGCGTTTTACAAATATTTTACAGTATGATATACCGCCGCTATTCCATTATATTACTTATAGTCGCTCAGTCTTTATTGATTCGACTAATCGTTGATTCATCAAACAAGATCCGTATTATAATTAATTGCAGCTCATTTTGACATTTGTCCAACCGCTTACTGATCGTAAACCCGCTGTTGTGCGTGACACATGTCGCCAGCGTCACGGACGAGTATGTGACTGATTATATGCATGAAAGTTATATAGAAAATAGAGATTATATACAGATACATCAAATATGTACACAATATCATTGAAATAGTTAATACCTTAAATCTATTATTTGTTAATATCCGGCTATCGAAATAATTAGCAATTTCATGTTGATCAAAACAGGATTATTTCTTGTATGTATAACTGGAATTATGAGAGGATTTGTATTTTTAAACTGATACAGTTATAAATCTACAAGATTGAACGATTAATTCTATGAAATTATTCATGAATTCAGTTATAATGAAATGCTAAAGTGTTATACGTGTGTATTTTGTGAAAGATAAAATCACATTCTGTTATCGTTCCGACACTGATCGTGAAACATTACGTCGTCAATGTTTAAACTCAAGGGTCGAACGATAAAATAGCGAGGTGAAACATAGAGAAAGGGTTGGCCTTTGAAAGCGGAACAGGTTTGACTAATGTAACGAGGAAACCACGCGGGATACGTGGGTCAGAGCATTGGTGAAATTATCATACAAAGTGGTCAAAGCGATCTCGATGTACTCTCCTTTTCCATCCCTCGGGCGATTCTTGGCATGGACAGCTCGTAGGGTGGTCGAATAAGGAACAGAAGGTGGTCGACCGAGAATATCGACATAATTGTTGGGTTGCGTGTGGCTCGTTATTTGGAAATAGATCCGGATAATTTAGGTAGGTGGCCACATGTTCTTCGTAAATAATTACTGAACATCGAGATGAGATATATTACCTATTTCTCAAACAAGAATTCCTAGTAATTTCGGCCTTCATAACTCTTCAAACTTAAATTTGATATATTAAGCTTTCATATCGGTTAATATTATTATTATTAATCATTTTATATTTTGAATGAAATTTTTATTTTTATATGTGTACAGTTTGCCTCCAATTTATCATATATGATAACAAAGTTAATATATATATCAATATTATTAAAAAAAATTACTAGTATTATTATTACTTCTAGTAATAGTTCATGAATTGATTTACTTATGTGCCATTTTTTACTTAAATCTTTTATTTTAAATATCTATATAAATATAACGAAGAATCAAGTTTTTATGTAAGTCTCACGTTTTTTTACGTTATTTTTTTAGAATCAATGATCTTCTCTTTTATGAGATGGAAAAACTTCATTACATAATAAACATGACCGCGAATTCGATTCGCGGATAGATGTATGATCGAGTGAAAGGAAGGGCAAGGAAAGAGGCCAGGCTACGACCCGCACGGAAATAGACGCGAGTCGCCGGAAACGCGATTTCCCAACGAACACACGAACAAAAATAGCGAAGTTATCCCTCTTTCGGCCGACTATTATTTACATAACCACCCGATGCGCGAGCATCTTTTTTCCGATCTGAAGATTGGTTCTTCTGGAAGAGAAAAAAAGAAGATATCTCTGTTTCTTACATTAAAATAAAAAAAAAGGAGGAAGAACAAGAGGAACGTGTGCAGCGATCCACTTCGGGGTCCATGAACTGTATGTTCATTTTTTCCTCGCGTGGCAGGTGGATGCAGTAACGGAGTGGCCAACCGCTTAAAAACAACAGATCTCTACTCTTTTTAACCACAAACTCTTATGTTTTTTTTCGTGAGATTGAAATGGAAGAAATACATACTCATGCCATAAAGAGAGGAATAAAAGAGAGAATGATCGTTTTTGTTTCAAAGGGGATGCGAAGCAATGATAAAATAATAATAAAAATGATGGATCGTGTCATAAAAAATTTTCATTTAGTTTATTATTTCAAGATATAGATTGTTGTGCATGTGAAATGATATATTCTTAAAAATAAAAATCATAGAAAAAACAAGTGTTAAAAATTTTCCCAATTATTGTTTGCAATTCCTTGCACATGCATCGAATGCATAAAAAAGGAATGTGATAAAAGGTATATATGTAACATTTTTCAAATCTTTTCAAGTTGATGTAATATATCAAATTATGTAATAATCTAAAGTTTCAAGATTCCGCCTTGAATGCCTCAACAGGTGCAAATGTGCCGCTGAGTGTATGGCAAGAATGCCCAACCGCCAATGTAAAACTCGACAGGGCGGTTAGTCGCAACCCTCTCATCAGGTTCTTAAAGGCTCGTTGAGAGCGATGAAACATGTAGCGGCGTACTAATGAAGCAGTTCCTCGCGAGCGACACCGTCGTTTATACGCTCGCGTAGCCACGTGCATGATGTTATGCACAGAAGAGATGCATCCGCTTTGCTAAACTCGGTCCGGTTTTACAGGAATAAGTAATGACATGAAAATTTATGTGACTTTTAACATAAATAAGTGAAGAAAGTCATATTCGGTCAAAGTGGATCTTGGTTCTTAATATTTTTGAGTGAATTTTACAATTTCCAGTTTAAGTAAATTATCTCAATAATTATTTATTAGTCTTGAAACAGTTTTAAAGTGAAACTGCATTGAGAAAAATGTCTTTGATTGAAAATGGATAAACCAGAGATTCTATATTAATCAGAATTCCAGTTATCTCGACTAGAATTTTAATAAATTTAACCAGAAAATTTTCTAGTAGATTTAAGAAAAAAATTTCTGGTTAAATTTACTAAAATTCTAATTGAGATAACCGGAATTCTGATTGATCATTGATATAATCAGAATTTAATCAAAATATAATCATCTTCTGCTCTGCCCATTTTCAATCAAATCATTTTTTCAGTGTGGGGTAATATTACAAATTAAATTGACAAGCAATTTAATAATACTGATGCTAATGAGTTCAAAGCGAATATGGCTTTCTTCGCTTATTTGTGTTGGATATTTCACCATGAATTTTCTTACTATTGTTTATGTGACTTTTGTTCTTTATTATCTTTCTCCTCTATATCTTCTATAGGATAATTTGTACTTGAAGAATCTTTTCATTCACGTATGTTCAACGTATTGTCATCATAATACTGCACCACAAGTCTATTGAGTTCTGTCAAAGACAAAAAAAATGGGAACTCGATAAAATACCCAACGAGAGACGTCTCGAGATGTATGTGTTCACAATGGAAGAGTTATCAATGGCATACCGCAATGTGCATTAACAGCAGCGCGCCTCGTGCACGTGCGACGACGGCTGTCCGGTCGGCCGTCGGCTTACGTTATATCGTTTCTATTTTCTGCACTGGTACTTTATAACGGTGTGGCGAATCTAAGTTTAAATCCCGCGCTGAGGATCGTGTAAAATCATGGACAATGGTGCATCGAACTGATGTCCACTGTCGCGGTTGCAATTGTGCGATGAACTAGCAGAGTTGCGAGGGAAACGATTGTATTATGTGAAGAAGCCTGAAGACAACAGACCAAGAATATTCTTAGTCGTATCTAAATCTCAATTTGTTTACTCTGAAATATATCAATTTAAAAAATCCAAAATTCTTACAATTAAATCCAATTAAATATCTTGTAATTATTAATTAGAAACATTCGTGTATATTAAATAATATTTAGATATTACATATATAGATGCGTATATAAAATTTAATAAATATTTGTAAAATACGTAGAATTTAACTTTTTTTTTATTTAAAAATAACATGAACTAGAAATTATAAACCAGAATTTCAATAACATTAGAACAGTATTTTCCTTTAATTTTTGCTAACGTTTGTACGATAATTTATATAGTCGTTGATTTATGTAGTCTTCTGACAGCCGTTAGGAGACATAATCGCATAAAACGTATGATTCATATATCATGGGAAAGATTTGATCTCGACTTTTTAAAAAGTACGATGGTTATTGATCATAATTTTGAACAAACGGAGTATTCCAACCTTCTACTTTCTAAATCTCTTGGTTGGATTTCGTAGAATCAAGTGCTAAAATTGTGATAAAAATTTAGAAGAAGAAAAATATCGCAGATGTAGAAAATATGCAATTTTTTCTTTTTTCAGTGCCCGTGAGATTAGTCTGGGCCACCGAAGGCGATGATGTGGAACTGCCATGCGACATCACACCACCGATGCCAGAGGATTCGGTTAACATGGTCCTCTGGTTCAAGGACAATGCTGGAATACCGCTCTACAGGCAAGTTTTGCGCTTTAAAAATAATCCTACCACGATCCGACTATTTTTACGTGGCACTAAAGCCACGAAGCTAGGACATCAACCTATCTGAGTTTAACTCTGCGAAAGATGTCGCCATTAATTTCACGAATCATAACCAAGCTACGAATCACGCCACAAAAATTAGAAGAAAGAGACGTAGAGATCTGTGGAAAGCCTACGTTCACAAATTTATATACGGATCAGAATACATTTCTTAAAAACGCAGCAGAAACGATTTTTTTTTCTCTGAGTGTGCGATCTAAAAGCTTAAAAATATTCTTCCTGTTGTCAATTTCCTGTTTTCTAAGAACCCACGAGAACTGATTCACGTGGCTGACTTTCTGCCGAATGCCGGCTAGCTCCGCGTTATTGGGGGATGGGATGCCATTGTTCTGAAGCCGCATCTCGAAATATCTCGGCACTAGGCTAGGCTCGAGCATGAACTCTCATTATGGACACCTCCGACATGCTCTGCTCGCGACATATAAATATCACGGCTCATTAACTGTCTATGCAACTAAGCGCCAGCCTATATTTCAACGCTAAAGATTGTTTTTAGTTATATATATATATATATATATATATAGATATTAGATGATAATTTTATATTAAAAATTTTATATTAAAAAGGACTAACTGTCAGTCTTAATTATGACATATTTAAAATAATTAGAATCACCAAATTTAAAACTCTTATATCTTGAAAATATTAATATAAAATTTTCGTAAGATATTAATATGTTTTATATATAATTATAATAAAATTTGGACCGCGCGCGTGATGATAATAAATTTAATTAAATTAGAGGAATCCTATATTCGGTCAAAGCAAATCTAGTTCTTAAATGTTTCCGTATGAATAGGTATTTAATTCTGTAAACCGTGTGCCGGTCTTTATATATGATACATGTATACACAAACTTATACATGTATGTTAATATATTCATATTTGTTCCATATTCATTTTTAACATAATACATTAAAAATAAAATAAATAAATTTTAATTTCTATAAATCGAGGTGTACGATTTTTAAGGAATGTTTTGAAAATCATCATTTGCCATCGTGGCATATCTACTTTATTCAAAGATTCATCGCGTGCACGATTATAGAAATAGATGCGTTACGTATTGGTGCGTCTACGAGGAAATTCAAGTTAAGCTAGATCAGGACTGTATAAATAATTCGACCGAATTTCCATGATCGGAAGTGTGGGATGATGGAATTTCATAACACGACCCAGAGATTCAGGAATAGCAGTCGATCGAAGACCCTTTTCAACTGACACAGGCATTAAACAGAGCGCGAGGCGTCGCTTATTTACGAAAACGGTCTCTGGAATCATAAAATAAAATATTTCCTCATCAACTACCATCGTTCGTCTATGAAAAATAAATGGAACCATGTGTAAAAGTCGCGTGTATTTGAAAGAACTTTTATTATCTACGAATTTTTATTACTTCATTATGGTTTATGTTTCAAATTTTTGCATTGCATTTCGTTTGGTAAAAAATTAAAATGTAATATAAAATATTATGTAAATACACGAGCTTTAGTCTTATTATATATATTATTTTTTTAATAAGATATATATTTTCCGTTCAGATTTTGCGAAAGAAAATACAGAAGAAATATTACCGAAGTAGTAACAGTTATAAAAAGCAGTTATAAAAAATTGTCATTATAAAATAAAATATAAATTGTGAAAAATTTAGCAACATTAATATTATGTTTTTATTAAATGTAAATATATCTCACTTTGTGAAAGTTTATATAAATCTCGTAGAAATTCTCGAGAAAATACGGACATAGTTAAAAGTGAAATACGAAAGTGCATCGTGTAATGTTGACGATGAAGGAAACTGTCAGCGAGTGGTTATCAGAAACGTGATGGTTATGAGGCTCACAAGAGAGCATACAGTTCCAGGTAATATCAAAGGACCTTCATAGAAGAAATACAACAAGCAAAAGGGAGATCGTAGAGCGTCAAAGGAAAGCAAGCGAGGATAGAACGTAAAGCAGTCTCTAGTTATTTGTGCTTTCTGCTGGTGAAGCGTTTCTCACAGACTCTCGCGGATTCGCGCTTCCGATAGTCGCTGAAATGGTCGCGAAAATGGCAGAAAGAAAAGAAAAAAAAATGAATCATGTCAAGTCGGAAAGAATTTGCGTTGCGGTGCTTCAAATTCGACAACGAAATATTTCATCGTAAATATATTCATACCTTTTATTTCAATTACGAAAACCAACCAGATTGAGTTCAGCAAAGCTAGAACTTGCGTGAGTTTAACATCTGCAATTACGATTTGATGATTCAACAAAGATATTATGTTTGTAAGCAATTATCAGTATACTAATTCAGCTCTTTGCTGCAATGAAAATTGCTAATGTAACAAGTTTGCTCCATTATTAACAGCAAAAATACGCAACTTTAGATAGCACGTTTTGTTAAAAATTTTATATTTTATATATTGGACTGATTTTCTATAATCGCTAATTTTATTCAGCTGTACAATTTTGCTAATTTAATATAAAAAATAGCTGTATTACGGAGATGTAGATTTGTTGAATCAGTGAAGTTTTTAGTTGTTTTAACAAATCTTTCTTTCCGTGTATATAAAATGAGGACAATTATTTACTATTAAAGTTATTTATCGCACACGTGGATTAATTTAGTCTTTTCAATAGTTCCATAATAACGTCGAATTACGACTTGATCGATTAAACGCGCGTGATTTAAGCAAGAATCAGTCTACCAGCTGTTTTTTGCGTTTTACATCTCAGAATTCCTCGTAACGGAGGACATTTCGTGCGTTCGAAGAACCGTCATATTCTCGTTTCGATGGATAGAAGATGGCTTTGCTCAATTTCACGGCACATAATCTAGGTTACACAAGATGGAACTTTCCGTTCTACGTCGCTTCCGACTTTGACGGCGTATTTGGCGAAGATCGTCGTCAACCGCATACCAACGACGAATCGCGCGGACGTGCGGTAAACAGCTTCAGCTGATATCTCTTTTTCCGTAGTCAGCTGTCCGTTTTTCCACCGCCTGGCCGGAACGATTTCCTGTTACCGTTATTGCGCAATAGTCAGCTCTCTAAAAGCTAAGAGGAGCTAAATCCGCGAGTGGCGAGTTTGCCAACTGTCCTTTTTTTCGGCCGCGAATAGACGACGCGCGATGCACGCGAATTTAGCCACTAAGAGCCAATTGGCGAAAGCGCGATGTTTACCGAGTTTCCGCACCGGAAATGCTCAAGATCGCGATGGAGAAGCTTAGCCTAGAAAATTCCTCTTGAATGAATTGATGGCGCCTCGGCTTGAAAGAGACATTCCTTAAATAACAGTGCTCAAGCAAAAATATTTTTATCTTAAAAAAATAAAAATAAATCTTGATTACTGAGAAAAACATCTCAAAGAGGAAATAAATTTAACAGCATATTTCTCTTCGCGTTCTTTCAATTTTGAGATTATTTTGAAAATAGTAGTATTGAGAGAACCATACACAATATAGGTTTTCGATGTATTAGAGAAGATTGCATTTTCCTGATCTGCGATGTAATGTTATTCCGTCCACATGCTTGGTCGCCAGAATCTCGTTTGTAATAACAGGGTACATCGCGTATAGGTAAGATTGAGACTTGGAGAGGCTGTGTGTGATGTGTCTCTATTTCGTATACCCCTTCATATGACAATGCTCAATATTTTTATTCCGTAAAATTGTTCGCGTTTTGTTTACTAAAGCGAGTTGTTTACTCACGTATTCGTTCGTGCTCGTTCGCTTGATCTAATTTTTGAAGAAAAAAAATACAAATTACTTGCAAGCTGACCCCCCACTTAACCAAATCTTAATGAAAAAGTTATGGAATAATGCGCTATTTATGCGCTATCCATATCCGCAAAAAAAATTTTTGCGCTCATTCCGTTTAGCTAAAAAAAAAATACTTAGGGGTAAATATGACTGTTCGCTCCAAGAGGGAGAAGTGCATTAAAGGTTGCAGCGCAAAAATCCAAAATGCTTGGAAATAGTAGCGCATAAATAGCGCATAAATCTTGTGTATTTAATTTTCGAAATCGGTTGTTTTTAACGGGTGGGGGGGCTGACTGACTTCCTACTGAGCCCTCCACAAAAAATGTTTTTTTTTTTAACTAAACGGAATGAGCGCAAAAATAGCGCATTATTACATAATTTTTTCATTAAGATTTGGTTAAGTGGGAGGAGGGGGAACAGCTATATTTAAACAATAATTCGAACTAATCAAAATATAATCTAGTTAATCATTATTTTTATAATATTACATTATAATATAATACATTTAAAAAAATTAAATCTAAATATATATTTCTTTGAATAGTACTAATTGTAAGTAAACATTTAGTTACAATAAATAAATGTTTACATTTAATAAATATTTGTTTACGACTATTCACAAATAAATATTTATTAAAACTTAGTACTTTATTTCAATATAATACAATAATATAATATAATATTTTTATATTATATTATAGACTATAGTTTGATATATTGAATGTTCCTCTATGCAGTTTGGACGCGAGAAACGGTAGCTTAATTAGCGCCATCCACTGGGCGGTCAGCGACGATCTTGGAGGACGAACCTACTTCCAGGTTGGCGATGGTCATCGAGCGAAATTAAAAGTCACCAAAGTGACGTTGAAAGACCAGGGAGTCTTCAGGTGTAGAGTGGACTTCGTGGACTCTCCAACGCGAAACTTTCACGTGAACTTGACTCTAGTTGGTAACTATCGCGTTTCAAAAGTTACAAGAGAGCGATGAAACATTCGTTACACCATCGCGTTTGACTCTTTTAGAACAGCCAAGTAACCCTGTGATATATGATGCCCAAGGACGAGAGGTGACGGGGGTGGGCAGCGCCTTTCTCGAGGGTTACAATCTTATTTTGATATGTCAAGTGGCTGGAGGTAAAGTCTCATCTTCTTAAGTTTTATAACGCATACTTGTGCATCAATATTTTCTGTCATTATTCAATGCATGTAAAAGTTATTATTGTTATTAAACTAGTCGCATTCAGCAAAAAATACTTGCAATTGTTGTAAAATTCTTTGAGGATGTTCTGGCTATACTTAACGAAAAGTATTGGCCAAAAAATCAGTTAACCTTCTCTCTATATACAGGGTTGTAAACACACCCCAGGCTAATAAAAAGTTGCCGAATGGAAAATTTTCAAAGTTTTCGTTGGAATTTTTTTCTTAAAATATTTGTACTTTTAAATAAATAACTTTAAGTCTTTAATTCCTCGCTAGATCTAAATGTATAAACTAACCATGAATGGGTGTATTCAGCAGAATATTTATTTTGCAACGCGCTTATTGATTTTGTAGAGAATTTGTTGAACGTTGACTTTTGCTGAATGTGGCCATTATATCAGCTTACAAGTAATATTCGTATAAATCGTATGAGAGTCGATTGATAAAAAACCATGTGTGTGATTGATTCACAGGTAAACCTAAGCCCTCGGTGACATGGTGGAAGGACGGTGAGCTCTTGGATGGCGTAGTTGATACTTTACCTGCCGGTACGCCGAACAAATTTACAGAGAATCACTTGTTCATCGACACAGTCACTAGGTCACTGTGGGGAACGAAACTCGAATGCAGGGCTCAATCCGGACCAATGGAGAAACCTATCGTTCGCGAAGTGCCTCTTGACATATATCGTAAGCATCGCATTTTACTCAAAGCGGAATTTAGATAATTTTGGACGATTAGATAATTTTGAAGGAATTAAAATTAATCTCAGGAAAATTTTGAAAGATAAGACGTGATTATATTTTCAAGCTGATTTCTAATTATGATTCTGATTATACGAGCTCATAAATCTTTTGGCAATCATGCCCTATCGAAGATTTCGACTCGAGGATCTTCCGACGTTTTTTCAAACTTTTTTTATGTTCAAGCGATGAAATGCAAAGGGTGACATTACGAGGAAATGGATCATAAATGCCGCGTTAACGTGACATCTGCTTAAAATAAAATCGAAGAAATACACACATACACACGAACACACACTTCAAGGCCGTTCATTAAATCCTAAGCACGTGCTAAAAGGCAGTCTCAAGCGGCGCGTGTTAAAGGGCACTCTTGGCACGTTTTATTCGATCGACACATTGCGCTTCCGTTTCTACGCCTTCCTTTCGTATTTATTTTTAGGTCGAGCTAAACAGGAAAATCGTAACACTTTGCATCTACGAGAGGCACAGGGAAAACACTTGTTGCAATCTCCTCGGAGAAGGATGGCGTTCGAATCTAAACACCGTGCTTGCATTTGAAGATGTTATAAAAAGAGCAAATTATAGTTTAAATAAAGATAAATTATTTCTTGCCATTTTCAATTATTCAATGAAACTTAAATGTGGAGGAATTATTTAATTATATTACGCATTTTTTTCAATTAGATATATATGATTTTTCATTTAATTACCCTAGTTTTTTTTCTTGATTTTACCCTTTCAAAATTCTTTTGCACCCCGAAATATTTCATAGCAAAGAAAGAAATTTAAATATAGTTGCGAGCAACTGACCCGCAGCGGAAGCGAAATGAATTCCAACCATTTCGCGTGGATCTCCTTAACTCCTTTGACGGTCGTATTTCGCAGAATTGTCGTCCAAAAGTAAAAATATACGGTTCGGGTCGGCGGGCATCTGGCCTTCCATTGGACCGTTATTTTCGTGGCGCAATGCCGACGAGGATCTCGCTCATAGTTTTTTGCATCCCGCAGGAATCATCCGTCGTGCCTACATCCGCAGATGTAAATTTTTGACGGCAAAGTATGTTACTTGTTAGACTTCCACATGTTGCTTGCCTTCATGTCTTCTTATATTAGAAATCTAAAGTCGATCAAGAAGACCTAACAAAGACACTAGCACGGAACATCATAGAGAAATGAGATTTTCAAATAACTTAATTCTTTGGTGCTTCGGTATCTTACTTATAACTAGCTTTCTTTTTCCATTGCTTATAACTTTTTTATTAATTAAGATACACTTGCTTGGTACTGTTAATGGTATGTCATACCCAAATATTTCATTCCTATAATATAGCAGTGAAAGATTAGTATTTTTGTAAAATAAGTGAATAATACCTTATTCGTTCAAAGCAGATCTAATAATATGCGTAATATTTTCACATGAATTTATACAATTTTCCCATTTATGCAAACTGCGCGCCGAGTACAATTTGTTAATTTTAAAATACAGTCTCAAATTGAGGTTGGAGTCGTAATATTACGAATTAAATTGATATATCTACAATTTAATACAATCATAATAATGTTAATACTTAATATTTTTATCCGCATAATTTAATATTTACTATCAAATCCTATCATATTTCAGTCAAACCAGCAATCGTGAAGATTGTTTTGAGCGAGGAACAGATTTTCGCTGGTCGTCCAATCACTGCCAGATGCGAGACATGGGGTAGTTCTCCAGCGGCTAGGATCATTTGGAGACTCGGCGAATTAGAAATGGGCGATCCCAACGTATCCACCACACAAAGGAGTAACTCGACAGTAAGCAAGATAGCTTTGGTCCTCGGCAAGGATGACGATGGCAAGGAACTAATGTGCCGGGCTGAAAATCCAAGATTTCCTGGAGGAGTGCTTGAAGAAATCAAAATACTTCGCATCTCTTGTGAGTTTTCTTGCAATTTTACAATATTTGTAATTTTCGAATTATAATAAATTTTTCTCGATAAATGTACAACATCGAATGTATATACGCATCCAAGAACTTCTTAAATATATTATTTATAAAATTTTAGTAAAACAGCAAGTGCCATAAAAAATATTTTTTAAAGAATCTGTCTTTTATATTTAAATTCTCTATTAAATATTCGTTGCGAAATCAAGTACTATAATAAATAATGACGCAATCTCTCAAATTACAAAAAAAAAACAGATGCTCCAGTAGTTGTCGCTCGTTTGGCTAATGGCTACGTCTTGGACACTTTGAGGGAGGGCGACGATCTCAAGTTGGTCTGCGACGTTCAGAGCAATCCGCCACCGACACAAGTGACTTGGTACCACGATGTAAGTAGAAAGAGAAGAGAAAAAAGAGACTCATAATCCAACATGATTGACCGTTACTCAAATCCTTGTTCTTAGAATCAACGGCTGGAGCACGACGTAAGCGCCGGAATTCTGCTGGCTTCTAACTCGCTGACCCTCCGCGTGCTCGCACTCGCACACGTCGGCGAGTATTCCTGTGTAGCCACGAACGCCGTGGGAGAAACTCACAGCCCGCCGCTTTTTATTCACATGAAATGTGAGTAGTCACTACATTTATTAACATATCGTGCGAGACTTACTTTCGTAAAAACGAATTGTTCTTGTGTCTTAGACAACAATGTTTATTGATAAACTAAATTAATTATGTCAAGATTGTCTGATTTGATTTTATTAATTAGTAATAAAGTAGAAAATGGAGGAAATTACTTTGATTAAGGTATTCATTCATCTTCCCTTCGAAACAAATCAATTTTAGAGACGAAAAACGGCAGGAATTAAGTTTAACACATAATAAATATCCGTTTGTAAGTTTGATGAAGATTTTATAAGTTGGAAAAAATTAATTAATTATTTTGATTAGAATATCGCGATGGAAATATTAAACTACGCTAACACAATCTTACAAACTAAAAATAATTAACAATTGTATGTAGTATCATATTAATTAATTACATATTTATATTAATACTTGATATAATTAAATAAAATAACACTTAATATTTTTGTGTATGATTTTCGTGCTTTTCTTATGTTTTTGCTAACAATGCCAAACATTTGATAGACGCCCCGAGGTGCAGAGAAGATAGCGAGAGAAGAGAGATCGCCGTTGCTCGACACGAGACGGTATTGCTCAAATGCGAGGTGGAAGCATTGCCTGACGACTATGTACGATTTTCATGGACTTACAACGGCACTGTTGGCGATGTTCTACCTATGCCGAACTCGAGAGTCGAAAATAAAGGGCTCGTGAGCATGCTAGAATACACCCCTAACACCGAAACCGATTACGGTACGTTGGCTTGCTGGGCGAGCAACGGCATCGGACGGCAAAGGACACCTTGTATATTTAACATCGTACCTGCTAGTGAGTTATCAGCCATTAATTACGTCATCTTCTCGCATCTTCATTAACATTCGTAATGAAAGAAGTTACGTCTCCGAATAAAAATAAAACTTGAATAATTAAAATATAAATTTTTTATCAGCGGATTTTTAAAATCTATTTAATCTTTAGATAATGGGAGTTTTTTTTTTAATTTTTCAGCTTTTTCTTGAGTAATAGAGATTTGTTATGATTTATTATTTCATTATATTTCTTACCTCCAAATAAGACACTTTTAGTACTATAATGGCTTTTCCATCCCATAAAAGTTAAAAGAGTTACATCTTTATTGCGACTTAAATGCCAATTTTTTTTTATCGCTCAGAACCACCGCAACCACCATTGGACTGTGCGTTGCACAACGAGACTAGCTCGCTGGAGGTTAATTGCATCCCGGGATCGGACGGAGGGTCGCCGCAACACTTTTTGTTGGAAGTACGGGGGTCTCTCAGGAGTTCTGGGATCGGCCATATCGGACCTCATACCCTTCAAACGCCTCAGAGCGATCAGGGAATGGTCGGAGAATCCCCACCTATATATCAGGACATGAATCCGACTCCGAATTTTCAGCTTCATGATCTTGAACCAGGCTACGATTACACAGTATATATTTACGCCGTCAATGGACGTGGCATGAGCGAACCCGCTCTTTTGGAACACATTAGGGTCGTCGAACCTATCGGCGGAAAGATGGAGAGGAGCGGGATCTTTTTGGCAGATCTGAAAAAGGCGCTACCACAAGCGAGTTCCGAAAACATGATCATCGCTATTGCACTGACAGGTATAGGTAAAATCGATGTTCGTGTTCTTTTAATTTCGCCTAATTTCTCTTAATTATTTTGAAAGCCATGGTTTAATTTTCCACGAATAAATTTAAATGAAAATAAAAAATCGTTTCTTTACGCGTCCTAAATTTTTGTAAATTATATTAAAAATTTTATTACTTTTATTTTAATATTATAATTAAAAGACACAGTAGCATACATTTTTTCGCATACCAGAAAAAAGCTATTTCTGAAAGCAAAAGTTTGCAACACATTTATGAATTTTTATATTTTAAATTCCTATTATACACTGTAAAATATTTTAATTAATTTTATTTAATTATATAATCTATTACAATATATATTAATAAATTTTATATTTACTCTCCTTACATAATGCAACTCTGAATTTAAAGGTGCGATAGCGTTGATTCTTATCGGTATTGGAGTGATCATCGGTGTGGTGATCTGCAGGAAAAGATCAAATACTCCTGTTATAGAAGGCCCCGACGATTTTACTACACCGACCTACGTTCCGGCCCAGAGAATTGAGCCTAGAATCAGATATTCCAACGAGAGCAGACGTTCTCAAAGGGCGAGTCTCTACGTTGAAGAAAATCGAAAGGGTAACTATCATAATAGAAAACAGCTATCTACTTGTAGTTTGCTGCCCGCGCGAGTTCAAATAATTTCTAAATTATTTAATTTTCTTTCAGAACCAGATTTATTACATCGAGTGGAGCTTGACTTACAAGAATAAATCACGTGATTCCGTACAGTTACTAATAATCAAGACAAAAAGTGCAATATTAAATAAAATTCCATACGCTGAAAAAAAGGATTGGCTGCTGCAGCAAATTAGATGGTAAAATATGGCATAGCATTTTTAATTGGCTGGTGTGAAGTTGGCACCCCATTTTGAAAAAATCGATATTTTATACACAGTTCCGTTTGTACAATAGTTCTACAATTCCTACTAAGTTTTAACAATAGTTCCGCGGATTTAGCTAAAAAAAAAAATTTTATAAATAGGGTGCCAACTTCGCGTGGCACCCCAAATATCGCAAAAATTAATTTTTATCACGAAATTCTAAAGTTCTCGAAGAGTTCTACAATTCCTGATAAGTTTCAGCGACAGTTCCGGCCTCTAAATATTTTTAAACAATTTTTTAAAGTGAGAGCCAGCACCTCACCGCGTAACGGTCAGTTCTCGCCGACTTTTTGCTATTTTACTACAGTTCTACAATAGTTCTAACGCTTTCTGTAGGTTTTGCACAGAGTTCTGGTCTCTACGTATTTTTAAATAATTTTTTAATGTCAGAGCGAGCGTTGAACTATTGTAGAACTGTAGGAAAATAGCAAAAAGTCCGCAGGAACTGGCTGTTACGTGGTACTTTACTCTTGTAGTGGGGTGTTGGCTCTCACTTAAAGAAATTGTTAAAAAATACTTAGAGGCCGGAACCGTCGCTGAAACCTATCAAGAACTGTAGAATTCTCTTTGAGAACTTGAGAATTTCATGATAAAAATTAATTTTTGCGATACTTGGGGTGCTACACAAAGTTGGCACCCCATTTATAAATTTTTTTTTTTTTTAGCTAAATCAGCGGAACTATTGTTAAAACTTAGCAGGAACTGTAGAACTATTGTGGGTGCAAACGGAACTGTGTATAAAATATCGATTTTTTCAAAATGGGGTGTCAACTAATTCACACCGGCCAATTAATTGGTTACAGCAGCCAATTTTTGGTTGTGTTAGCCTCTTGAAATCTTATTTATAACTGACGTTGCGGATAGACTAACGCAACCAAAAATTGGCTGCTGCAATCAAAAATTAGCTGCCAATTAAAAATGCTATGCCATAGTTTACCATCTAATTTACTGCAGCAACCAATCTTTTTTTTTCAGTGTAAAATTGCCCCTCGATATTCGCATAAATTTTTATGTCTCGTATATCGAATTTATATTATGTCATAAAACTGGAAGCATCGTGATTATCGATTATAATAAGTAGCTGTTGGATATGCAAATCGTTTATTTGAAGGATTAGCGATGGCGCGCCACGGATACTTTTTACGATTGAGTCGGGAAATTTGCCGGTCTTCAACGCGAATCGAGGTGTTACAAAACATTCTATTAGTTATTTATGTTCGCCTTACACATAAAACGTAAAAGATTCGCAGCCGAAATTTTTACGTTAGATTGTATAGAGCATAGAGTTATAATAACATTACAAAATGTACAGCTATTTTTACAGCGTAGGAGACTAAGGCGTACGTATACTTGCAAGTATTAACGTATTAATTGTCGACCTAAACACGTGATTTTATGTACCTTTGTCGCTTAATAGAGACTGCTCCAAAAAAACATAAACTTTTAAACTAAATTTGTTCGAAATTTTTACAAATTTTAATCGCATATACTTGACGAATTTTTAGTTCATTCAATTATGAACGCAAATTTGTTATACTTACGTCATGCGTTGCATCACACTTTATATTTTATTATGTTAGTGCAATCGATTTATATTTCAGACTTATACTTTTTTTGAAGCAGTCAGTAGTTTATAAATTATTATTAATTATGATTAATTTGTATAATTTTTGATCAGCGTAGTTCACGCTATTCCACATGTAAATATTGTACTCGTATTGATTGATAAAATTAAAAAAAAAATAAACTGCCATGTTGTATTATTAGTGATTAATAAAATTAAAAAGACTATCATAAAAGTATTTCCTTTACCTTTATTTCTTGTGAAATAGAGAGACAGAGAGAGAGAGAGAGAGAGAATGAGAAAAAATTTATTGATATTCCAATTGTTTTATATATATATATATATATATGTTTCTATTACGTAACAGCATTATATAACAAACGCATTAAAACTACTATTGAAATAATTTTATTGCTATTGCAATTTGTCAATTATTAGCGACAATAAACCTGTTCCAACTGGCTAATGATTTAATTATCATGTTTCGCAAACGCGTCTGGTTTTATAATCGATTATATTGCCAAAATATATACTCTACGATAAATGAATTGGCATTTAATATGTCGTGATTTGACGTGGCAAGTAATTGAATTGCAGAACCGAACATTTTCCAACCTCCGCAAATTATTGCAATTACATTCATTTCAATATGCAATACATTAATTTTAATCTCGGTTTAATTTATTCTTTATCTTTTTCCAATTCTTAAAATTAGAAAAAGATAAAAAGCGAATTAAACCAAGATTAAATAAATAGATTGATCTACATTGATAGAAATGGACATTACAGAGATATACATATATTGAATCCTAAGTGTCGATAAAGAAACTTCTTGTGCAATTTTCAAGATATGGAAGACATTAACAGACATTGCCTGTTAATTCCAATCATGAGAAAAGGTAGGTTTGAAGCATTATAGATAATAAAAGTACATTAACACATAAAAAGTAAATTAATATTAAAATGGTGCTTCCTATTTGAAAGCCAAAGCGTGTTCTATGTTATCAGCTATCAGTATAGCAATTGGTATGTCTCTGTGTAATCACGTTTGATAGCGCCACATGTGCAAAGAAGCAATCTACATACTAGTAATCTGTAAAGCAATTATAAAATTAATTATTATTAAACTTTTTCCACTTTGTTGATATTAATATAATATTAAATTTAAAAAATAATAATCTATTTTTATTTAAAACTCTAATACCCATTTTTCTTTCAGTTATAACATTTAGAAATTTTAGAATATTGATATTATCATTTTATAAATTGTAATACGATATCATAGGCACTTCAGAATTTTAACGCAGTATTGACGTCACGATTGCAGCATATTGCGACGATATCGACTTATGCATGTTCGTTTTATATTCGCGACGAGATCGAACACTTTTCCATGAATACCAACAATCCATTAATGAAAACTTCATCAACGTTGGAATAATTATGTCGCTGCACACGACAGCTGTCCCATTTCCGCAAATTGCCTAGCAGCGGTTGTGATTTAGAGCCATGAATTAAATATTGTGCGATATATATATATATATATATGTAGAGAGAGAGAGAGAGATACGTTATAATCCTTCACGAAACGCGATAGAACACTTTCGCTCGCGTGTATTAGACATATAAGATATGTCGGCAAATTGAATTACCTGAGTTAATTGTTAAAATTTAATTATTATTGGGACTGTTAATGTAAGGTTATTAAAATAATTGTAAGTTTTATATGCAATATTATAGCTATACTGACCCACGAGTATAAAGTAGTAAAGGGCACTCGTTATTCTCGATTATAAAAGGAGAACAGAACGAATAAATTTTACTACAACGAATAATGAAATGAATATTATTTAAAAATAGCGGTAATGTTGTCTTAGTCTGAGTACACAATTTGCGAAAAATGCATACAATAAACTTCAAAAATGTAAGAGCCGAATTAAAAAATTTATGACCATCAACATAAAGGTATCACGTAATTAAAGTTAACTATATACATTGTTAAATTCATAATGTCAAATTATATCCAATTTGAGTTATTTTTAATCATTTCTATAGGTCGCCACTGTTTCTACCCAATATATTATTAATTTGACTAAAACAATGGAGTTAAAAAATTCAATGAAAAAAATGTATTAAATTTGATTCAAATTTAATTTATTATTTACTAAATGCATACGTTAATGGACGTTTACTCTAAAGCTAATCACAGATATGAATTGATTTAAATTTTGACAAAAAGAAGTTAAAAATAACAAAATGTTATTTATTTCAAGGAATTAGATTACCATTGCTCCTTTGACATTTAACGGAATATAAAAAATGTTTTGTTATATTTTTATAAATTTAGTTAACGCGAGTACGAGTATGTATGTATGTTTGTGTATGGGATGTAGAAATAAATGATCGATATTATTCCGAAATCGTTACATTATCATCATGTTTATATGACACACTTAAATGGCGCAATCGACGATACGAGTCGGGAAACGAGTACCGCTGCTATAAATGCACGTGCGTAATGAAGATGCAGCCGACGTGCACCATACGTTGAATGCAATTGCGCATTACGCAACGTAGCGCAAAGCGCGACGGGACCGGGGCAGATAATTAGATTATACTTTGCAGTGCGCGCTGGGACCAGGCATTATCGTTATCGTCATGGGAGATGACGGCTGGTGTACGTCGCGAATAATCCCTGTTATTTTCAGTACCGCCGGCAATTCGTCCGACGTTATACTGAGTGCTTGTAAAATTAAAATCCCTGCTGTTACCGTTAAGAGCACTCGGTGTTATCATATAAGTAGAGATACGGCAAAACATATGAGGAGAAAAGATACTTTTCGCGAGATAAAAAGAGGAAATAATTCTCTTCACATTGATTTATTGCACGAATTTCTGCGAAAAATGAAACAAAGAGTTGAGATAAATAAAAAAGATCACTGTATGTACAGTTAATTGCATTATTAAGGAGCCTTTAATTGTGAGATAATGAAGAAAATTCTATACGTCTACAGAAAGAATGTTGAAGTATCTTAAAATTTAGCTAAATATAAATCTAAAAATAATTTTATTGATCTCTATCAAAATAATTATATAGAATAGTTAAATTGGTTGCTAGAATGTCAAAATTTTTTGCAACATTGCTCATCGTGTTTGAGTTTCTTATATAATTATTTTGATAATGATTTCACACTTATATCTAACTAAATTGTTAGATATAGGCGTTACTTCAACAAAATTGTTCTTACCGTGTATGCATGTGAGATTATATAACGTACAGCGTTAAATTCTGTTTAGACTTAGAAAACTATAATTTGGCATATAAATAAAGATAC